GACACGACTGCCCTCCCACCCCGCAGGGCGGCTCTACCAGGCCTGAGACCACGTGAGCCTTCTTGTATTATACCTGCAGACAGCTGTGCCTAGCAATATTTCCAGTTGACCAAATATTCTAATCTTTTCATTTATATGCAAAAGAATAGTTTTAAGTAACTTTTTATAGCGAGATAAAGATGGTATAAGTGTAAAAAAAAAATAAAGATGGTACCAATTTAAATTAGTGGTCTGTTATCTAATACTAGTGGTATATGATAAAATTCTGGTCAAATAGTTAGATATTAATTGTTTGAGCTGTAGCAAGTTTGCTATGTTTTCTACGATTTATAAGTCATTTATAAATTCCCCTTTACAGAAAAGCTTCAGGACCTGGAAGATATTTCCATGGATCCCAGCAATGAGAACCCTAAACTCAAAGACCTTTCCTTCATCTTGCAAGAGGAATACCATTTAAACCCAGAGACAAGGACCATTCTCTTTGTGAAAACCAGAGCACTTGTGGATGTAAGTTTCCATACTCTTTATAAATAAACAGTCTAACCCCATTTATTGAAGAGATGGTACTTTCCTCACTGTTTTGCATTCAAATAGTTGGAAAATCAAAAGGGATGAACTCGCTCAGTATTTCTTAAACTGAAGAAACTGAAGAACAAATTCAAGCCTCTAGTTGCAGTACTTAAGGATGCTGAGGGTAGAATGTTGAATGTTCCAGGAAGCATCAAAAGAAGATGGAAGGAATACACAGTTCATTATACCAAAAAGAATTGACTGACATAGAAGAATTTTATGAAACAACAAATGATCAAGAGGCAGTGGTGATGAAAGAGGGAGTTCAAGCTGCTCTGAAGCAATTGGCAAAAAACAAAGCCCTAGGATTTGACAGTATACCAGTTGACACATTTCAGAAAAAAAAAATGCTGCCCTGGATGTGCTCACCAGGTTGTGCCAAGAAATCTGGAGGACAACTACCTGGCCAACTGACTAGTTGAGATACATATTTATTACCATTCTAAAAAAAGTGATCTGACAGAGTGTAGAAATTATCAATCAATATCACATGCAAGCAAGATCTAGTTGAAGATTATCCCAAAATTCCTGGAACAGTACCTCAACAGAGAACTCACTGCCAGATATGCAGACTAGGTTTAGAAGAGACTGTGGCACTAGGGATATTTATAGCCAATGTTAGATGGATGTTAGCTGAAAGGAGAGCGTACCAGTGGAATGTCTGTGTTTCATTAACTATGCAAAGGCAATTGACTGTGTGGATCACAACAGATTGTGGCTAATCTTGAAAAGCATGGAAATTCCACGACACTTGGTTGTGCTTATGTGAAACCTATACTTGAACCAGGAGGCAGTCATCAGAACGGAACAAGGAAACCCCGCATAGTTAAAAATCAAGAAAAGTGTATGCCAGGGATGCATCCTATCTCTATACCTTTCAATCTGTATGGAGAACAGATTATCTAGGAGGCTTTATGAAGCAGAATGTGGCATCAGGATTGGAGGAAGACTCATCAACAACTTACAGCATGCTGCTTTACCACACGTAACCTTCTTTACCAAGAGCAATTGAGAGACAGTGTCAAAGAGGGAAACCACAGTTATTGTATAACTTACTCTTAGAAATGAAATTGTGCCTTGTCACATCTTTAAGATAATGTTTATTAAGTACCTAAATCTAGCTCATATTCAAGAAGAGAAGATCACACAGGGCTTCAGTACCAGTAAGTGGGCATCAGTGAGGGCTACTTTCGAGGCCAACTACCACACTGGCTTTGGCTTCTTTCAGTATTTTCTCATTTCTAGCATCTATATTCTGTGCATATTTTGTTAGATTTATACTTAAATATTAACTTTTTGATGAGGCAGTGAGCTCTGGTGGTGCAGTGTGTGGTATGCTTGGCTGCTAACTAAAAGGTCTATGGCTTGATATATGCCAGCTGCTCTGAGGGAGAAAGTTTTCAGTGCAAAGAGTGAAAGTTAGAAAATCAAAAGAAAAGAACACGCTTGGCATTTCTCAGGTTGAAAGAACTCAAAAACCAATTCAAGCCCTGAGTTGCAATACTGAAGGATACTCTGGAAGGAATAGACATAGTCATTGTACCAAAATTAACTGGTCAACGGGGAACCATTTCAGGAAGTAGGATATGATAGAGAACCAATGGTAATGAAGGAAGAAGTTGAAGCCATACTGCAGGAATTGACAAAAAATTAGGACCCAAGAACTGATGGAATACCAATTGACATGTTTTAACAAATAGTTGCAGCCCTAGATGTGTTCCCTAGTCTATGCAAGAAAATTTGGAAGACATCTACTGGCCAGTTGACTGCAAGAGATCCATATTTGTTCCCATTCTAAAAAACCAACCAACCAACCAACCAAACAAACAAACACCAAACCCCAACTCCCAACTAAAAAGATGGCCCTACAGACTGGTAATTACCTAACAATATTATTATTAACACATGGAAATAAAATCTTGCTGAAGATTATTAAAAAATGCTAGAACAGTTTATCACCAAGGGACTGCCAGAATCACCAAGGGACTGCCAGAAATTAATGTTGGATATAGAAGAAGTCGTGGCACAAGGGATATCATAGCTGATGTCAGATGGATCTTGGCTGAGAGCAGAAAATAATCAGAAAGGTGTTTATTTGTCTTTTATTTACTATGCAAAAACATTTCATCATAACAAATGATGGATAACAATGACAAGAATGGGAATACCAGACACTTAATTATGCTAGTGCAAAACATATGCACAGACCAAGAAACTGTTGTCTGAACAGAACAAGGAACCACTGCATGGTTTAAAATCTGGAAAGATGTGCATCAAGGTTGTTCCTTTTTGCAAACCTATTCAGTCTATATGCTGAGCAAATCTTTTGAGAAACTGGACTACATGAAGAAAAACATGACATCAGAATCAGAGGAGCACTCAGCAACACCTTGCATTATGGAGATGACACAACCTTGCTTGCTCAAAGTGAAGACGACTTGAAATGCTTGCGGCAGAAAATCAGACTACAGCCTTCAATATAGATTACAATTCAACATCAAGAAAAAGAAAATCCTCGTCACTGGACCAATAGGCAACATGATGATAGATGAAGAAAAGATCGATATTGTCAATGGTTTCACTTTACTTGGATCCACAGTGAACACCCCTGCTTATAGCTGTCAACAAATCAGAATGTTACACTGGGGAAATCTGCTGTCAAGGACCTCTCCAAAGTGCTAACGAGTAATGACGTCAGTTTAAAGACTAAAGTGCACTTGATCCAAGCCAATAGTCTTTTCATTTACTTCCTATGCATCTGAAAGTTGAATAGTGAAAAAGGATTACTGAAGAAAAACCTGTAGCTTTGAATTGTGGTGTTGGAGAAGAGTACTGAATATTTCATGGACTGTCTGTCAAAAGAACAAATGAATCCAACTTGAAAGAAGTACAGTCAGGTTGCTCTTGAGAGGCAAGGCAAATGAAACTTCATGTCACATACTTTGGCGTGTTGTCAGGAGGGCCAGTTTTCAACAAAGACATCATGCTGGGAAAGGTGGAGGTCAGAAGAGAGGAAGACCCTCAACAAGACAGAGTGACAGACACAGTGACTGTGACCATAGGCTTGAGTGTATCTGAGGTGGCGAGAATGGTGCAGGATAGAGCAAGGCTTGCATCTGTTGTACACAGGGTCCCTGTGAGTCATGGTTGACTTGATGGCACCTAATGACAATAACAACTGAGGAAGCAAGATGAGCAGTCTTTGCCTTTAAGATTTATAGCCTCAGATTTCTGATGAAGGGTCACCGTGTTGGAATTGATTTATTTGCAGTGGGGGAGGGGTGTTTGCAAATGGTAATTAATTTTTAATTCCAATGGTCTGTTGATAGTCTATTGAAATAACAGCCTTAAGTATCTTTTCTTCATGCACACATTTTGATATTGCTTAACTGCTGATATACAAGGGTACTAATAATTTGCTTTTCATTTTCAGGCTTTGAAGAAATGGATTGAAGAAAATCCTAAGCTCAGTTTTCTGAAACCTGATATATTGACAGGACGTGGTAAAACAAAGCAGACAACAGGTATGCATAGATTTCATTCATTATGGATCTAAGAGTCCATTAGTCATGAGAAAGAGCAAGAGAAAGATGTGGCAGTGCTGCCATAGAGATTACTGCCCGAGAAGCCCAGTGTAGGGCAGTTCTGTTCTGTCCTGTTGGGTCGCTGTGAGGCAGGGTCAACTCAATGACAGTGAGTTTGTGTCTTTAAGAAATCTGAAGAAAGCAAACTCAAAGTAAAATCAAATAAGACTGAAAAGTTTTTAAAAGCAACCATCTAGGGAGCTCTGGTGGCCTAGTGGCAAGGAGCTGCACTGCAATCCCGGAGGTATGCAGTTCGAATTCCCAGATGCTCTCCTGGAGAAGGAGCAGCAATCTCCTCCTGTACCAGTCAGATACGATTTGATGGCACATGCGCGCGCACGCGTATACACACACACACACACACACACACACACACACACACACATAATAATAATAAAAAAAGAACAAAAAAGTTAAAAGCAACCATCTAAAGATAAAACTGAGTGCGCTTGAGTTTTCATGAGTTTGAATTACAAATGCATATTGTAAACTCCCCTAAGTCCTTTGACAAACTCTAATAGCTAGCTTTCCTCTGGGTACAAGGAGAATTTATTACCTTCCTGTATCTCCACTGGTGGGGTAGCTGTAGGGAGTTGTGGTCTTAACTCACAGGCAACGCTTCTCTGGTGGTTTGATGGCACCAGCTGCTCCGCAGGAGAAAGGTGGGCAATCTCCTCTATGTGAATTACTGTCTCCCAAAAACCCGCTGGAGAATCAGCTGAGTCAGTTCCAACAGGACAACAATGAGTTGAGTTGAGTCTACCTCCCTGTGGTAGGTCTTTGTGAAGAGTAAGGAGAAGACTAGAAAGATAGTTGAACTAATACATAAATGTAAGTGGGTCTTTGAGACCCATAAGGCTTGACTTTTAATGTGCATCTTCCTTGAATCACTTTTGTAGATATTTTACGAAATCACATGAACTTGCTCATTTCTCCATTCTGATTTCACTCTAGTAAAAAAAAAATAAGTTTAGTTTTTAAGACCATAGGATATTAGAACATAGTGTGCCTGTTTCAGTCAAGATCCTTTCTTTCTCCAAGGAGCAGAAACCATGTACGTTGATCCAAGCAAAAGACGTTAATTTCAACTGGTCATTCTACAGAACCAGGATCAGGAAGTGTGCTTGAGCTTCAGGGGCTGTAGGAACTGAGACTAGGACGTCGTCTGAACCCTACAGTCAGTTCCGTGCTGTTCGTTCTTTAGGGCATTCTTTCAGTTTAGCTGCCCATGGCTCTCCCATAACTCCCCAATTAACTGCCTGTCTCCAAAACCAGTGTCAGATTCACAGAAGGACGATCTGATTGGTCCATCATTTTGGTTCATATGTTCTTTCAATCCAGCAAGCTATAGCCAGGGGACAGGGTCTGTGGGTTTATGTCCATCGAAGTTGTCCAGTTGTTTTAACAGACAATCCCAACATCGTGGGGAGGTACTACACAGTATTTCTCACTTACAATGTAGTCCAGTACTGTGACTGTAGGACTTGGGGCTCTGCTCCTGCACCTTCACACATTTGGGGCTTCTTGTTCCTCTGTCATCCAATGGGTTCTCCAAATCCTTTGTTGTGTTCTTCAGTCTGGTGATGAACAATGAAAGGAGTGAGATTTAAAAGAAACTTCACTTCTGTTCACTTAATTATTAGTGGGAATTAAGTCAGAAGGCTCTCTTAACTGCAGGGAAGGCTGTGTTGTTGTTGTGTGCTGTTGAGTCAGAACCGATCCATAACTGACCATCCAGTGAGTTTTCAGAAGCAGTAAATCACACAGGAGGGAAATGCCCATCCTCCCGTGGAGCAGCTGGTGGATGCAAGCCACCTGCCTGTGGGATTATTTAGCCATGTGCCCAGCTGGATAAAGACATAGAATTTGGAGAGCAGATAGCATTGTCTGGGTCATGAATTGGGGAGTAATTCTTAGAGAACAGAAGAGAGGGAGAGATAGATACTCCTCTAATATACGTGTACAGACTGAGTGCTAGACTTTAGTTTCAGATCCTGTCTCTGCCTCTAACAAACCTGTCAGTTTATCATAATCCAGAACCTCATGACCCTCATCTATAAAAGGAAATTGTAACAATTGCTCCAGTTCCTTTAGACTTCAATGTGTTCTGTCACTAAAATGTAACAACAAACACTCAGTTAATTGTTGCAGAGTCAGAACCAATTCATAGCTGATCCTCCAGCGGGTTTGAGAATTGTACTGCCAACTCAGAGGCAGGCAGCGGTTTGAGTCCACCAGCTACTTTGAGGAAGAAAGATGGCCAGTCTTCCCCTGTGCGTTTTGCAGTTTCTGAAAACCTGCTGAAGGGTTTATGAGTGGGTTCCGACTTAATGACACATAGCAACAATTACATGGGAGGAGAATGCTCATCTTTCTCCCACAGAGTCCCTAGTGGATTAGAAGCACCAGAGAGGTGCAGCCTTTGGCAGCAAAAGTCTCTATGGGCTATGCCAACAGAGATCCCTAAACAAACGTGCAGGTATTACTATTAGCCATTGATATGTTTGTAGAAAAGACAGCATTGATCTTGGTATCTCTGAGGTCACAGAGTGAGTAAGTGTTAGAGCTGGGATTTGATCCCAGGCTTGTGACAGAATCCAAGCTATGAGATACCACTTTCAGGTCCTTTTTAAAAGGTTAGGCATACACTCTATTCCTTTTGGTTGTTACGAGATACTGAGTATAAAGTATTTGTCACCGTATCTGCCATGTGAGAACCATTCCATATTTTAATAACTACTTCTGTCAAGTGGAAATTTACTTCTTTGGTAACAGTATAATATATAATAATGCCCTCTCACTGTGACACAGGTATGACCCTCCCAGCACAGAAGTGTGTGTTGGACACATTCAGATCCGACAGTGAAAACAAGATTCTAATTGCTACCTCAGTGGCAGATGAGGGCATCGACATTGCGCAGTGCAATCTCGTCATCCTGTATGAATATGTGGGCAATGTCATCAAAATGATTCAGACGAGAGGTGAGAGAAGCTTTGATATCATTGTTGTGTTGTGTCTGGGGTGTGTGTGTGTGTGTGTGTGTGTGTGTGTGTGTTCGTGTGTATGTGTGTGATGCTTGTTTCTAGCCTTTTTTCTTTACGGAGCCATGTTCAGGGATGTGAGCACAGGTAGAGTGGGCTCTGCTATCACTGGCCACGTGGATTGACCCGGCCAGCACTGGGTCGTTGGTTACCATTATGGCATTTCTATATGACTTAATTGTCCATCCTCGACACACATATTCATGGAAGGAATTCTCCATTGCCTCAAAGGCTCTTGAGGGAGGAGCTATTGATCTGTTGTTTTTCAGTCATTGCTGTTTCCTCCCACTTATCTAACAGAAGGGTTTGTGCTGGTCTCTATTTAAAGCAGCGTTTCTGATAATGTCCACTCAGATGCACACTTGAGACCCTCTGTAAGCAAATTTGGTTTGTTGTCCATGGACACAATTAGGAGGCAGAGTCACACCTACACCTCACAGCACAGCTTCCTTTGAAAGCAGAATTCAGTGAGCCAGAAGGGAATTGTAGGAATACCCCTGTTCTTGAATTTGCCTTTTTGTAGATTGTATTTGATTTTTTTTAAGTCAAAGACACCAAATAAAACGTTGCTTTTCTGATAGGCAGGGGAAGAGCAAGAGGTAGCAAGTGCTTCCTTCTGACCAGTAATGCTGAGGTAATTGAAAAAGAAAAAATGAATATACACAAAGAAAAATTGATGAATGACTCCATTCTAAGCCTTCAGCAAGAGGATGAAGCAGCATTTAAGAAAAAAGTAAGTCAAAGCTGTCTGTATTACTTTTCCAAAATCTGAGCATAAATAGCAAATGGAGACTCTGATCATAATTCTTCTGTCACAGTATTTAGAGAACACTGCTTTCAAATAGTAAGTGGATGCTTAAAGTTTTGTCCTCAGTGCATATCATATTTACTGCTTTGAAGTCTTAATAATATGAAATGATATTTTAATAATAGATAATAATATTATTAAAATATACCTTAATAAAAAGTAAATATAGTTTAATATTTAAAAGTTGTGTACTGTAGAGTTGGAACTGACCCATAGCTGACTCTCCAGCCGGTTTTCAGAGGCAGTTAATCTCACAGGAGGAGACTGACCATCTTTCTCTGTGGAACAGCTGGTGGATTCAAACCGTGTGCCTTCAAGGTCGCAGCAGAGTTTCTTTAGAAGGGGTCGTGGTACTAGGGATATTGTAGCTGGTGTTGGATGGATCTTAGCTGAAAGCCGAGAATACCAGAAGACTGTCTATCTGTGTTTCATTGATTATGCAAAGGTATTTGACTATGTGGATCATAAAAAACTATGGTTGACTCTGAGAAGAATGGGAATCCTTGAATACTTGATTGTTCTAATGCGAAACCTATACTTGGACCAAGAGGCAGTCGTCAGAACAGAGCAAGGAAACACTGCTTGGTTCAAAATTGGGAAAGGCGTATGCCAGCGATTTGTTCTATCTTCATACCTTTTCAACTTGTATGCAGAACAGATTTTCTGGGAGGCTGGGCTCTATGAGGAAAAGTGAGGCATCAGGATTGGTGGAAAATCTATTAACAATCTGCGTTATGCAGATGACACAACCCTGCTTGCTGAAACTGAGGAGGACCTGAAATGCTTGCTGCAGAGGGTCAAGGACTGCAGCCTTCAGTATGGATTGAGGCTCAATGTCACGAAGACAAAGATTCTCACCACTGGACCAATTGGCAGCATCAGGGTGAATGGTGAAGAGATTGAGATTGTTAACAACTTTAGTCTGCTTGGCTCCATGGTCAACACTCTTGGCATCAGTAGCCAGGAAATGAAAAAATGTATTGTGATGGGAAATCCGCTGTTAGGGACCTCTCCAGGGTACTGAAAAAAATGGTGTCACTCTGGAGACTAAGGTGCATCTGATAGAGGCTATGGTCTTTGCAATCACTTGTTATGTATCAGAGAGTTGGACAATGACTAAGAAGGATAGAAGGAGAATTGATGCCTTTGAGCTGTGGTGCTGGAGAAGAGTATTGAATATAACCTGGACTGCCAAGAAAACAAACAGATTCATCCTGGAAAGGGTTAGACCAGGCTGCTCCTTGGAGGCAAGGATTCTGAGGCTTCGTCTGACATACTTTGGACATGTTGTAAGGAGGGAGAGGTCCTTGGAGAGGGACATCATGCTTGGGAGGGTGGAAAGACAGCGCAGAAGGGGAAGACCCTCTGTGAGGTGGATTGATTCAGTGACTGGGTAATCGGGATGGGTTTGTCGAAGGCAGTGAGATTGGCACAGGATAGAGCAGGGTTTAGGGCTGTTGTACATAGGGTCGCTATGAGTCGCAAGCGACTTGATGGCACATAACAACAACAACAACAGGCCACCAGAGCTCCATTCTTAGTCTCTTAGACCACTTTAATGTCTCAGCTGAAAGTTCCTAGTTCATATAGATGTGTGAAATATATATATGTGAAATGATGGGAGAGAAGGAGAGAGGGGGCGAGGGGGAGAGAGGTGGGCGTGGGGGGGAGGAGTGGGAGAGAGAGAAAGAGAGAGAGAAAGCCATGCGTCCCTGACAGTTTGAATCCAGCATGGCCTCCTTGGGGGAAAGGTGGGCAATCTCCTCCCTGAGCAATCTAAAAGCCAGAACAAACTCCTCTGCCTTCAAGTCAGTACCAATTCACGACCACACCCATCTGGTTCGCTGCTGTCCCTCTCTCTGGACAGAGTGGCTGGTGGGTTTGAGCCTTTTGGTCAGCAGTGCAGCGTGTAGTGCACTCTACCTGCAGGTCTTCCTCTTGGTCTCTCATGCTCTCTCTCTATGTGCATGTCTGAAAACAAACATACACCAGTACAGCGATTTATCTGTGAACAATTCAGTGACATTGATGACATTCTACAAGATGTGTATTCAGTGCTCACTTCGGCAGCGTGTATACTAAAACTGGAACAATACAGAGAAGATTCGCAAGGATGACACACAAATTTGTGAAGTGTTCCATATTTGTTTAAAATTTTTTTAAAAATTTTATTATTTTGTGTGTACCATCAAATGGGATCTGACAGGTACAGGAGAAGATTGGCCCTCCTTCTCCAGCAAAGCATCTGGTGGATTCGAACCATATACCTCTGGGATTGCAGTGCAGCTTCTTGCCACTAGGCCACCAGAGCTCCCTGAAGTGTTCCATATTTTTTAAAAAAATGTGTATTTATTCTTGCTCTCCTTTTACAAAGTATTTTACCTCTAATAACATAAGTTTACGGCCCCCTAAGCTCATCCATATGGCTAAGTTGCTGTTGTCACTAGCACCTATTTTGATTGGAACTTACAAGCTCCATTTTTAAATATTGCAGTTAAATTTCATTTGACTTTGGAAGTGCTGTAGTGATCAATAGATTCTTTATGGATTAACAGTAACTGTTGTTGGTATGTACCATCAAATTGGAAACCAACTCACAGCTCACCTTCCAGTGGGTTTCCAGAGGCTGTAAATCACACAGGCGGGGATTGTCCACGTTTCTCCCACAGAGCAGTTGGTGGATTTGAACCACTTTTCTTTGGTTTGATAGCATAGCACCCTACTACTAGGCCACCAGAGCTCCTATCAGTAACTGGTTAGATGATTATGAGGAGGAGGGAGCTAGTCTACCCACAGGGACAGTAACTGTGACTTCCACATGGAACTCTCCAACCCCTGCAGACATTCAAATCAGCACATATAGACCTCACAGAAATCCATGTGGAAGAGATCCTACAAAGCCAAGGTTCTGTCACCTGCTCTTGGAAAGAACCAATCGTGGAGATGGATTGGAATGGAATAAGTAGATTTACTACAGGTACATAGGAGACCAGGGAATGTGAATGTCCCAAATTTATCTCAAGGAAGAGAACTTTTGAGGGAACATTTGCAGATTGAGTCAAGAGAGTAGGGGAAAGTTCTTGTTTTATTTAGCACTTTTAGGAGGGAAAGAACTTTGTCTTAGAAAAGAAGATATTATACAAATCAGAAGATACTCCCAGCTCACCCCTGAGAAGGTGTCTATCCAGTTAGGTGTTTAATCATCACAGGACACACACTCTAAGTTTCCTTTTTAAAGATGGAGTCTATCTGGCTAGATGCTTCATCGTGACAGGATTTGCACTGTGGCCTCCTCACGGTTACTCTCCAGATGTTACAAAGTCACTCTGAGTACACATGGTACCTGAAAACTCTTTTCAGATCACTGAAACAGGAATTGTTTAGCAAAGCCAAAGGCTGTTAGGCAGGAACACCTGACGCTGTTTGTGTCATTGTTCTCCGGGCCTGGTGATGAAGGCACATCTGGGGCTGCCTGTGTTAGCTGAATGCCAACCTTCTGGATCTGAACCATCTCAGGGAAAATACTTTGCTAGGAAAGAAAGGCAGTTTTACTCAGCACATCATGTAAAGAGGAAAATGAAATGAGCAGACAGTCTATGATTCAAAGCAAACCCAGAAGTATCCAGCTAAGGTTCCTCCCTCTTATTTACTGGAAAAGTCGTCTTTGATATTAGGCCAGACGTCTTATCTTTTACTTTATGGAAAAAGGAGTGAATGTTAACTATAGATTTCAGGGTGGAGATGCAAACCTCAACCAAAGGCTTCAGCTTAAGAAAGAGGCCTCTTTCAATTGTCCTTCTATACTAAAAGCACGATTCTCTTTCTTTTAAAATATTCTTGAAGATATATTAGATTCAACCTGTATTAAACAGTTCCTGTTGCTTTTCTGTCTGTTGCATGATGAAGACATTAAAAGGTTAATTAGGCACCACAACAAGATAAAGGTATACAATCCAATTGCAAAGTAGGCACAGGATATGAACAGACACTTCACCAAAGAAGACATTCAGACGGCAAACAAACACATGAAGAAATACTCAAAATCCCTAGCTCTAAGAGACATGCAAATAAAAACAATATGAGATCTCATCTCACTCGTAAGAATAGAAAAATTTAACAGAACAGCAAGCAACAAATGCTGGTGAGATTGTGGAGAAACTGGAACCCTTATTCATTGTTGGTGGGAGTGGAAAATGGTACAACCACTATGGAAGGCAGTAAGGCGCTCTCTCAAAAAGTTGCAAATAGAAATACCATTTGACCCAGCAATTCCACTACTGGGATTATACCCCAAAGAAACCATCATAACTGACATCCAAGCAGATATATGCACACCCATATTTACTGCTGCTTTGTTTACAATAGCAGAGTTGGAAACAGCACAAATGCCCATCAACAAATGAATGGATAGAGAAGCTGTGGTATATTCACACAATGGAATGTTACGCAGCACTGAAAAACAAAGAACTCATTAAATATACAAAATGGGTGACCCTGGAGGAAATTATGCTGAATGAAATATCTCAGTCACAAAAAGACAAATACTATATAATGCCACTGTTATAGAACAGGACTGATACAGGGCTTGGGAGGAAACTAAGAAAAGAGGGGATAAATAATGTATACAGCATTGAAACAAATGAGGGAGAGAACTGTATAAAAGGAATATATGATTAGGTATCATTGGCATGACAAGAATCCAGAATAAGAGTTGCACAGTAAAGTGGTCTGTGGGGGATGACTGTTTATAACAATGAAAATAACTTTTTTCCATCAAAGAAAACAACCAACTGGGGAGGAAGAGGGACAGGGAGGAAAATGTTTAACAATGAATGAATGAATGAAAAAAAATATAAAAGCATGTTCAAACCTGTTAATACTAAATAAAGTATACATATAATCAAAAACAAACAAAAAGATTAATTAGGGATCACACCCAGCTAAATGTTTGCAATAAGCAAGACACCAACAGGAAACTTGCATTTCTTTGATAATATTGTAAATGGACGAAGTGTCCCTTTTAGTCTGGAAGGATGGCTGAAAGGGAGGTCTTTTCTCAGGCTGGAACTCTTTGTCCTCTAAGCCGTGAGGGACAATTTTGAAGAAAACTTCTGAAACCCCTGAAGGTTGCAGTTGCCTCACCACCTGCAATCACACCCTTTCTGTTAACATTTAATAGGATGATTTATCAGAGATGATCTTTTCAGTGAATAGGAAGGAAAGCGTTGTTGTAAACTTGAACTGAATTCTAGGTTTGCTCAGAATCTCAGTCTTTCCTATTTAATTTTCTTCTTTACATGATGTGTTTTCCTCTGAGACTTTTCAGATCAAGAAGGCCAGCATTTAGCAAGCAGCCCATGTAAAGTCCCGGATATACCACCTACTTAAGTAGCATGGGCTTTTCCAAGTGTTCCCGCTGCATAACCTTTAACTCTGCTAAGATGTGAGGTACCCTGTGAGTAAGTTCTGTAAGGCCTTCTAGAGGGCAGCCGTCTTAAAAGAGGAACAGACAGGAGCATATCCTGTTAATGATGAAACATCTAACCCGATTGGAGCCCAGTTGCGTGTATCTACTGATTGGTATAATCTTTTATTTTTTGAAATAATCCCACCTTTCCCTGCTAAATGTGCTAAATAAGTATGAGCCCTTCCCCATGTCCCTAACCTGGACTACGAAGACTCCGAATTCAAATTTTTTGCCTTCTTGTTGGAACTGACTTATAACTGATACTCCAGTAGGTTTTTGGAGGCTGTAAGTCAAACAGGAGGAGATTGCTGTTCCTTCTCCCATGGAGCCTCTGTTGATTTAGAACTGGCAGAGAGGCAGGCATGGCCTTTGGGTTAACAACATAATGCTCTGTGGACTACACCATCAGATCTAGATACTGTTCTTGTTTTGTTGAGTCACAACTCATAGCTCCAGTGGGTTTTCAGAGGCAGTAAATCTCACAGGAGAGGTTGTCTATCTTTTCCCATGGAGCATAGGACAGGACAGGGTTCAGATCTGTTGTTCATAGGATCACTGTGAGTAGTAGTCTACTTGACGGCACTTAACAACAGTAACAACTCCTATGGAGCAGCTGGTGAATTCGAACCACACATCTTTGGGATTGCAGTGCAGTTTCTTACCAGTAGACCACCAGAACTCCCTGTTGTTAGATGCCCTCAAGTTGATTATGACTCAGTGACCCCTGTGAGCAACTGATCTTCCCCTGTCCTGAACCATGCTCACGTTCTTAGGATATACTTGGGTTCATTGTCACAGTCATTGTGTCAACCCATTTTGTTGAGGCGCTTCCTCTCTTTCTTTGACCCTCCATCTTTCTATATGTCAGCCTTTAACTTGAAGCCAACTCTTAGCTGACCTCAGCAGATTTTTATTTACTTTATACTGGTTTACTTTCATGGCTGTAAATTTCATGAAGGAGATTGCCTGCCTTTCTCCTGTAGAGTAGCTGGTGGATTCCAATGATCGCTTTTGGATTGGCAAAACTTGTTACCTACAGGCCACCAGAGCTTCCCCTTCTCATATATTTTGTATGTTGTTGTTATGTGCTGTTGAGTCACTTGGGACTCTTAGTGATCCTATGTACAAGAGCCTTAACCCCTGCTCTATCCTGTGTCAACCTTATTGTTTCTGACACACCTACCCCCATTGCCCCAGTCACTGACTCGATTCATCTCATCGAGGGTCTTCCTCCCCTGCGCTGTCCCTCCACCCTCCCAAGCATGATGTTCCTCTCCATCGAATGGTCCCTCCTTACAATATGTCCAAAGGATGTCAGACGAAGCTTCAGAATCCTTGCCTCCAAGGAGCAGCCCAGCTTCACCGTCTCCAGGATCAAATTGTTTGTTGTCCTAGCAATCCATGGTGTATATTCAACACTCTTCTCCAGCACCACAGCTCAAAGCCATCAATTCTCCTTCTATCATCCCTAGTCATTGTCTAGCTCTCTGACACACAGAAGGCAATTGCAAAGACTATGGCCTGGATCAGTCTTCAGACTGACATCGTTGTTCTTCAGTACTCTGGAGAGGTCCCTGACAGCTGACTTTTCCAAGGCAATTCGTCTCTTGATTTCCTGGCTGCTGGTACCAAGACTGTTGATTGTGGAGCCAAGCAAACTAAAACTGTTAACTATTTCAATCTCTTCACCATTCATCATGATATTGCCAGTTGGCCCTAGCAAATTGGCAACTCTGATGCCTTAGTAATAGGGAGTTACACTGTCACTTCAAGGGCAGGCAGTTGAAATCTACCAGCTACTCATTGAGAGTAAGATGGGCGATCTCCTCTTGGGTGATTTACAGTCTCTGAAAACCTTCGGGAGGGTCAGCTATGAATTGGCTCTGATTTGATGGTATGTACAGAATAGTAAATCTTCTGTTTTTTCCATTCCAACTTCTGCCCCCAAGATTGGTTTTTCTGGCATTAGGTAGCTGAATCATGATTTTCTAGTAACATAATGAATAGTAAGAAAAGGAATTAGGGAAACCAATTATCTGTGAGATTTTTCAAAGTCAGGTACTATGTGATCAAAGTTGTATATGAATAATAACATGTTGTTATGTGCCGTCGAGTCACCTGTGACTCATAGCAACCCTATGTACAACAGCCCTAAACTCTGCTCTGTCCTGTGCCAGTCGCACTGTCTCTGACACTCCCATCCCGATTATCCCAGTCATTGAATCAATCCACCTCATGGAGGGTCTTCCCCTCCTGTGCTGTCCCTCC